CGCATAGCCATTTCAGAAAAGAGATTGTAGCCTTCGTGCTGTGCTTCATGTATCCACTTTGCCTTCTATTCCAGGCCGGGAATGTTGAGAAGACATTGAGATCTTTCCGGAACCAACATTTGTTAGAGTAAACAGATACATAAATGAATTAGCCTGCTTATCTAACAATTGATACTATGATTTCATCTTTGTGAAATTATTTACTCAATACTAGGTTCTTAAATTGTAGACATGTCGAACGACTGGTATGATGTTGGACCACCGGTTTAAATATCGTGAATTAATCTCTGATGTTACACATTGCCAAGCACAAGAAGAAAGGTCGTTGCATGGATCATAAAAAGATAAAAGGGGCCTCTCAAATAAAGCAATGGCTGTGGCCACGAACTCAAGTCCGCAGTGTGCCCCGTGTTTGTCTCTTCTCCACATCCGCCAGGGAGAAGGACTAAGAACAGCTCATATATAAGGCGTGGGCTTCATTGGTTTGACAATTATTTCTCGATTAACCATACTATTAACCGAATAATGTCGAGTATTCCTGCCAATCCTCCGTTTACCCACAAGAAAGGGCATGTACCTCCCAACCCCGAACCCAAGGCGTTCAATGCAGTCCTACTATTTTCTGGTGAAATCCGTTTGTTTTGAAGACATCGCAGCCATTGAACGTCTTCAATAATCCTACTCTTCCCGTTTCATCTTTCAGGATCCAGCCACCTGTTTCCGCAATTCCTCTCATGGAATCAATATTTCTGCCGAAACCAGTGGGTCATCCCTTGCAAAGGCTAATGAGAAGCAGACAGATTTGTCACAGAAACTTTCCTTTACTTCTCCTACAACTGCAACTCCGGAAATCAAAGCGGCTGTCATAGTTGTTGCATCGGGTTCTGTAAAGCCATCGACCGAGCAACAGACATCAACGTCATCTCTGGGAGAAAGCTCTATTAAATCTGATTCTTCTGACGGTAATCTGAAGGCGGGCCAACAGGCTCCATCTCGGAAACTATTCACGTTCACCGTCCCTTCGGCGACACCAATTCCCCAGCCCAAAACTGCAGAATCCGTTTCATACTCTGTAACTCAAGCAAATAGGCAAGATTCTTCGCCTTCGCCGACTACTAAAGTCGACGACTTAACGGATGGACATTCGAAGGCGGATAATCAGCCTGTGGCCTCAACTAAACCATCCTCTTTGGATGGTGTCTTCAGGGCTCTACCTAAGCTATATCATGCCGACGGAAATATCACCTTATTGGCTGAACAGCTGGCATTCTGTGTTCGTCGGGAAATTTTAATAAGTCATTGTCAGGGATTCGTTGACATACTAAGTGCAGAAGGGAACAGTACCGAAGTCTTGGACGGCTGCTCCGTTATTCGTCTTTCTGACAAAAAGAAGAGCTTAAAATATTCCTGGAGGTGATTTAGGCATACAAGTAAGATTGTTTATATATATATATATTCTTTCTCCTCTGATAATTATCTTCCGTTGCCAGGAACATCTACCTTTGCATTTAGACAAGGCTATATCCATTCTTCATCTTGCTACTAAATACAAAGCTGGACGTTGGCATGAGGCAGCTACAGTTCGACTCGCTCGGTGTTCTTCTGTAACTCTGCATATATGGGATGATTTCAATATTAATCAATCCCGGGGAAATTTGAATTGGAGTATATTCACATACTTATCGGTATTGGTGGAAGCCAATGCGAAGGCTCTACTACCGCCTGCATATTATTTACTATACAAACTTCCAAAAGACCAAGTCGAAAAAACATACTAGATCCAAAAATATCACTTATACATATAAGAGCAGCCGTTGCCTTCTTCGGGAATTTCCCCGTTTTCTTGAGGAGCAACATGCGGAGGTCTTTAAAGACAATTTCTCTTTTGTCCCATTTTCAGATTTTGATTGCGTCCCCAGGTTGACATGAAGCTACTCTGCTGCTGTCATACAGAATGGATGGTCTTCTTCTAAACTCTTTGGAAGAACATTGGTATGCGGAAAGCTTCCAAAGTGGTCGATGCTGATCCCCCCAAGCTTCTCCTCACTCTTTCAGGAACTTGTCAGAAGGATTTCCATGGTTGTAATAATTGTATTCACAGAATTCGAACATCTATTGCACATATAGGATGAAGATCTAGATGTCACTTCCCGAGGTATTTGGTTTAGGTGCCTCTTAGGAGTTATTAGTCGTCCCTGAAGGTGAGCAATTGATTTAGCTTGTGAGATTTTAATCTCATAATTACTTGTATTTTAGCTGCTGTGGCTCTGATGCTTTGACCTGCGGCGTAACTGTTTCATTTATAAATATTGATATAAGTACCTAGTTAGCTATACTTAATCAGGATCTATACATACTTAGTAGTCAATTTCTGTACCTGTGCCTTTGAACAATCTGAATCATCTTTGCAACAACAGCGCATTAATTGTTAAAGGAAGAAAAGACCTTTTCTTCAAATGGTTGCAAAAAAAAATCGACAGTGAAACAATCGTCAACTACAGTACGAACTCGGGTCCGCACTGGCGCCCAGTGTTTGGGCTTTTCCACAAACCCCCACAACACAAAGACAACAGTCGCTATATAAGCTTTGGACTCATTCAGTGGTTTGGCACTTATTTTTCCTCTTGACCATACCATTGATCATGTCGAATCCTTCGGTCAATCCTCCGACCACCTCCAACTCGAACAATATTGGCTCTGCACCTCCCAAGGTGGATGCAGCTCCAGTGCGCTTCGAGAGAAATACGTTTAAAGAGACACAGTACCCTGGGCATGCGTTCAAGGGTCTCGAGAATCCTGGCTCCCTGGCGTCATTTTTCATCAAGCCCTCACCAGTTTCCGCGGTTTCACCCATGGAATCTTTACCCAAATCGAAGCCGGAGAGCAACATAATGTTTGTAGTTACGCCCTCAACAACTCCGGGCACAAACGTCAGTAACACAAAGACAAGTCCGACATCTCAGAAACCTTTGGTGTCCCTTTCTTCTACACCTGCAATCCCGAAATCCAAATCTACCACTCCATTGGATTCTGTAAAGGCAACCACCGAGCAGCAAACATCGACACCATCGATTGAAGCAAGTTTTCAATTCAATTTCGGGAATGTTCCCGAACAAAAATCTGCTGAAATCGCTCTGAATTCTTTGAAACAAGGCGAAGGACAACAGTTATCAACACCCTCGAACATTGCGAGCACTAATAAGGATTCCGCTAATGGTAAGAAGGCGGAGAAACCAGCGTTTCAGAAACTATTCGCGTTCGACGTTCCCGTTTCGAGTCCAATTTCTCAACCCACGGCTGCAGAATCCATTTCGTCGGACTCTGTCAAGGAAGCCAATATGCAAAAGCCATCACTGCCATCCGGTTCGACTGTAGCGAGCTTTCCTAGGGTCGATGCCACCGATGGTCAGTCGAAGGTGGAGAGTCAGCCTCTGCTCTCTACAAATCCAACTCCCGAGCTCAAAACTGCCACAGAATCCCCTCCGTCAGTTTCTGTAAAGGAAGTCGCTGGGCAACAAACCTCGGAGTCGTCGCCTCAATCAGATTCTACCGAAGTAGAACCTGCCGTTGATCAGTCACTGGTGGACAAAGCCTTAGCTGTGTTCAAGGGGGAATCTAAGGTGGAGGTGTTGGAAACGGAACAGAAGGCTCAAGATATTCCAAAGGCCGTCAAACCCATCAAATCCTATTTGGTGGGTGTTTCCAGGGCTCTAGCTAAGTTGTACCATTCGGATGGAAATATCACCTTACTGGCTGAAGAAAGGGCATTCCGCGTTCATCGAGGGGTTCTAATAAACCATTGTGAAGAATTCGTCCGCATCCTAAGGGAAGAAGGGAACCGTACTGAATCTGCTCCGGAAATTCTAGATGGATGCTCGGTTATTCGTCTTTCTGACAAGAAGGAAGATATCGAAACCTTCTTGGGAGTCATTTATGCGTACAAGTGAGATTGATATTTGTATATCCTTCGTACTCTGCTCATCTTCGATTATCAGAAACATCTACACTTTGCATCCGGATAAAGTTATATCTATTCTCGGCCTTGCCACCAAGTATAAAGCTACTAGCTGGCATGAGGCATCTATAGCATACCTCACCCGGTATTTCCCTATATCTCTGCAAATATGGGACAGTGATGCTTATCAATTGCCGGGCGGTTTACTCACATATTTCCCAACATTGGTGGAAGCGAATGCCAAGGCATTACTCCCGGCGGCCTATTATTTATTATGCAAACTGCCAGAAGACCAAGTCGAGAAAAGCAAATTGAACCCCAAAATATTGCTAACATACCATAGAGGCAGTCGTCGCCTTCTCCGGGAATTCCCTCAGTTTATTGACGAGCAATACACAGAGGTCTTTACAGATAAAGTTTCCATCGTGGAAGTCCCACTTCCTGATCGCGACGCTGCTCCCGAGGTTGCCACGAACTGCTGCTGCGACGCAGAATGGAGGAGTTTCTTCAACGCTCTTTGGAGGAAAATTGGGATGCGGCAAGCTTCGGAAGTCACCGATGCTGATCCCCTCGAGGCTCTCCGCACTCTTTCGAGGACATGCAAAAAGGACTTCACCGGTTGTAAGAATTGCCACCAAAAGCTCCGAACGTCTATTGCGGCATACAGGACGAGGATCTGGATGTCACTTCCGGAAGTATTTGGTTTAGGGCCTTCCTGGGAGTCATTGACTGTCCCTGAAGGTGAGCGATTGATTCATGTTGTGAAAATCCTATTAATGTCGCAATGTTATTTTAGTTGTCGTCTCTGTTATGCTTCGACCTAAGGCTTAAAGGCTTCGTTTCTAGATATCATGTCGGATATACCTTACTAATAATCAAGATTTATACATAGTAGTCGATTTCTATACCAAATAATTACTAGTACATAGCTGTTGCTTTGAACATTAGCGTCAATAGTAAAGAACAACGGGCTTATCTTAATTCTTCATAGATCGTCTAACTTCAGGCGATAAGGCCTTGAAAGACGAATAATTTCTTTACGTAAGGCAACGCGACCGAGTGGTTAGGGTGTCAGATTTGGATAAGTCTTTATCTGATCCTCTTTGAGGGTGCAGGTTCAAATCTTGCTGTTGTTGTCCTTTTGTAATTTTGTTGCACTAATTGTTCTTTAATGTAATTCTCTCCTCGAGTTTTGATTGTCATTCAAACTTGTGACTTTGGCTCGTAAGACCAGTCTAGATCATAGTTTCGAAGGTTCTTTTATTATTAATTGATCATAGGTATACATACTAGCTACCAGTACAACAAAGATCCTCTTCGGTATAGTCGATAGTCGACGAAGATGATTCAATGCTAGGATGTCTGTTTAAACTGGAACCTCTCCTCCCTAGCAGGATACTACTTACCTGATGGCCGCATTACCGTACCATGAATTTGCTATCCAACATATAAATCTAAGTCAAGAACTCCTTAGTCCCATGCATCGACATCATAGACAGAAAAAAATCATACACACCCATTCGGACAATTAACGTTAGTGCCTATAAGCCATAATCCGAAACCCAATGATAAAGCATTCTTAATATGTATATGCAATATCAATAAGTCCGACGCGGAGATATGAAGGAGATCAAATTTTTGGTAGCGCATCTGTACTTCCATAATACCCGTAAAATCATATTTTCAATTAATCAAATCAAATCACCAGGTATAAAATCAAGGACATACACAACAGAAAAGAAAGACGAATATGGGAGTATAAGAAGTGCAGAATGAAAAATTGGTTGACAGTAAATGCACTGCGGCAGAGTAGTCTGGATTGAGTTTCGCCTATGGGTGCGAGTCACGAATTGCACTGAATGACAATACACTGAAACTGGCACCCTCTACGCCCTGCAGCGAGATCCCGAGACTAGACTCAATATAGTAGAGCAAGCATACGCCGTCAACACAACAGTAAACATTTGAACTTATAATATTCAGACGTTTTGTTGAGTCCTCCGACATGGAAAAGTCAAAGAGACACCTGCCTCATCAAATCGCCGCGAACATGTCCGACAAGACGGCAATAAAGGAAAAATAATCAGGACTAATCCTTCATGATCATCCCGCTAATACCATCTTCCAGGGATTACACTAAAAAGAGTAATTTCAGTTCAGAGCATGCGGAGAGCGATATGCTGCCACTACTTCAGAGTTACGGATCGACCACCGGTCGATGATCGATGATCCTTGCTAGCCTCCTCCCACCAGCAATGACAGGTCAGTTGTCAGGTTTGGATATCGCCTTCCCCTGGGAACACATTCCAGACACAGCAGACTGCTTCTCCTCTATTGTCTACGAACGACATTAGGATTATCGACGATAGCAGTTAGGTGTGGGTTTCTGGTAGGTCTCTCGACCAAATTAGGGTCGACTTCAGCAAGAGGCAGTATACCAGTGTTGGAATTCTCAGACCTTAACCTGCTCGCAAGGAAAGAGTCTA